ATAGTACATTTTACTTTCTGACAGAGCAGATCTTATCACTATTCTTTAGAAGATCTTTGGATATTAATTTGTGATCAATCTTCCATTTGAAATTCAGGGATATTTATTATATTAACAAAAAATAGGTATTCGAAATTTATTTAAACTTTGAATTGAAATAAGGATTAATTGACATCTCTAAGATTGAGAAATTCTATCCTTGTGTAATGTGTACCTGTATTCATTCATGTTTCATTCCGTATTCATATGAAAAGTTTTTAATGGCTTCCTTTTAATAGATCTTGACTAGAAATTGTTAAATGGATTTCTGGAAGTGTTTTGAGCTGACTAATTTAAATTTCTCATTTTTCAACCACTTTCCATCTACCTCACACATGCGTGTTGCGCTCCCCTAAGGATTTCATATATCTCATACCTCACACTGTCCTCTTGCTTTCCTCATTTGTAGGCTGTTCAGTTTAAGAGTTTACTCTTAAACGTTCAAGAGTCCTATGCATATTCCTCTACTCTGTCTAATCACTGCTCTGTGGAGTTTGTCTCTTCTACAGGGTCCTTCTGTTTCCCCACTGATGACTAGTGATGTCCCCTTCCATCTCTTTCCAACCACAGATACAACATCTGCTCTGTAGCACTGCTATCATATCCTTTGGGAATCATTACTGCATTATGTTTTGACACCAATTCTTTCTACTTTGCTAATAAAGATGCATCAAGGGAAATGAGCAACTTTCCTAAGACATGAAAGTGAAGAAGCAAAAAGAATCAAATTCCAAAAGGTTTCCATGATGGAAAGTTAAAAGTAGGGTGGAATGGTTGGGGAAATCATCTCAGGAATCACACAGGTTTTGGGGGAAGGACATAGGAAGTCACCTCATTGAGTATTGAGAGAGGATGAATCAGTGCACAGAAGTTGAGTCAGTTAATTGTGTCAGGTTAGTTTTAGGAGGACTGTGGGTAATTTGCTAGAGAATGAGTGTTTCTAGAACCTTATTTTGCCATGATTTAAATCCTATCTTCTCATTACACAGTTATACTATATTTTCTGGTCATTGGACTCAACATCCTATTAAAAACAAGTACACTTATGCTACAGACATATTTTATTTTAATTTTTTCAGGCTGAAGTGCAATGGGACAATCACAACTCACGGCAGTCTCAAACTCCTGAACTCAAGCGATTCTCCTGTCTCAGCTTCCCGAGTAGCTGGGACTACAGATGTGCCACCATGCCGAGCTAATTTATTTATTTATTCACTTTAGAGATGGGTGGGGAGTCATTTTGTTGGCCAGGCTGGTCTCAAACTCCTGACCTGCAGTTATTCTCCTGCCTCAGCTTCTCCAGTAGCTGAGATTACAGGTGTCAGCTGCCAGGCCCAGCCACAGACACAACTTAATCATGGGAGATTATAAGAAGAGGCTAGCTCTACACATTTTTAAATGTGCATGGGCACTTTTGTGAAGAATTGGCTTTTCAGATGAAAGCGGCCTACTGTCCTAGAAAGGTTTTCAGGACTCAGCTAGCCTATGTAAAACTAAACATTTTATTTTCCAATGACTGACTTTCTAAAAAGGTGTGAAATTATTAATATCTCACTAAAACCAGCAGGAAAGAAACTGATTTAGAATAATTATGAGTTGGATGTTTTCTTTGAGCCTATCTACCCAATCAAACTGATTAACTCTTGCTCTTTGTGATCGTTAAGACTGTTGTATATTAATAAATAGAAAAACAAACTGTATTTTTAAATAATTTCTCACTAACGTGTGTGGAAGACATACCCTTGATGTGGAAGATTCTTTATTGCCCAACACAAATCTGCTCATCTTCCTCAGTGTACATGCCTCTATGGCAATTATTTATTGGTTGTCCCTCAGTGCTACCCCAATCTTCTATAGTTTGCAAATTACATTTTCTTTAACTCTCTTGCCTTCTGGCTTTCGATACTTGTTAAGCACTGAAAAAAAGGATGTAAGAGAAGGTGCTTCTCTTCTGCTTCTAGCTTCTGTTGGCATTTCCCAGCAGCAGTAGACAGCTGTGGCTCCAGCCTTCAGTTTCCTTTAACACTTTTAGTACCAATTTTGCTGTGTTGCCTTAGAGGTACCAGCCACATCCACGCCATTCCTCTGGGTAATCCTGGTACTACCTGTGGCATGCTCCCACACTCACTGGTTATATGCAGTGTATCACCGAATCAAGTCTCAGGCTATTCCCACTTCTGGAAGGTTCTAGCACTGGACCTCCAGAGTTTCTTCCCTGAACTGGTTTCTATTAACACCACATTTTCTCCATCCATTGCAGGTCTAAGCAGAGTAGCCATTCTCTTTAATTATACATATGTGTTTCCCTGGCATCCCTTCTTTGCTTTTTCAAATTTTCAGTCATGGAAGCAATTCCCTATATTAAATCAGTTCTGTTTAAAATAACTGCCATTACTTCTGTTTTATTGGCTTATCCTTGAGAGTTAGAACCTCTGAAATACAGAAGATAACATTGAATATTGACTTCCATGATCTGTGGGAGACACAGAATGCTCAGCATAAGATGGAGTGAGTAACGGAAGTGGTACTCTGGTAGAGATTCAGGATTGACACATGTTCTCACTTATAAGTAGGAGCTAAACAGTGGGTACACATGGACATAAAGACGGAAATGAGAGACACCGAGGACTCCAAATGAGGGAGGGTGAGAGGGAGGTTAGCGTTAAAACTGATTTATTAGGTACAGTGTTCACTGCTTGCATGATGAGTACACTAGAAGCCCAAACCTCACCACCACGCAGTGTATCTGCATAACAAACCTGAACATGTACCTGTTGAATCTATTTTTTAAAAAAGCTTTTGGTTTGAGAAACAGAAAGCAGAATCAATAGAAGGAGTATGAGGCTGGCCGTCTAGGAGAGAGATTTGGGAAGAGATATCGAAAGGTGATAGTTGGGGTGGAATGTGATTCTTTGCTAAATGCTTTTTCAAAAATAAAGATTTATCTGAGGGTTGGATATTGGTTTATATGGGGAACAGAAAACAGCTACTATATGGGCTGCCTCCTGTTAGTATAAATTTGTACTTGTCTTGGCACTCAGTGAGGGCTGTCTTATGACTTCAATTGTCATTGATCTGTTCAATGTTAAAGGATGTCTTAGAAAATTGGTCCTAATTTACGAAGACAGCCTCATAGGCTACAAATCTGGCTTTAGTGCTATTATAATTTTTTGTGGCTGAGGAAACAGAAATTCCATAACCCTGACTTGGTATAGCTTTTTCTCTTTCCTATGATGTATTCAAAAGGCACATATACATAATAGACAATGATGAATGGGAATTCAGAATATCAATTTATTATTATTGGCTGAGTTTACACCTAAAACTCAAGTGCAGATTTCTCTGTAAGCTAAGAAGCATTCATGGCCTAGTTAGAAGGCCTAAGGGACTTTACCCTCTTGCTAAAGCCAACTACATATCTAAAAATCTTACCACTCTCCTGCAAATTACATATGACTGGACAATAGCGATATGTGTGTATGCACATGTGTGAAAAGAGGAACAGAGAGAGCAAGATGTTCAGTTTTAACATGTGGGAGTTCAGGACCAACGTCAACTTAAATCGTCATTCACATGGAAAATATAAGAGGAACGATAAAATGACAGGAGAGACATTTTTTGTGTTCATGACCTCTTAACACAAAGTGACCCTGCCCACTTGTTAGTGTTGTGGCGTCAGACCCCAAAATAATAGGATTCACAGCTTTTGGAAAGGATCAAGATTTAAAAGACTATTTATTTAACATCAAGAGTGTATCTTCCCACAGATGACACATAGTTTAGTCTTCTATTGTTAAAGGTGAATACTTACACATTCTACCCTATTAATTAAAAAAGTCACAGTCTTTTCAAGGGCTGTGTAGAAGCACTACAAAAGCATTAATAAAGAAAATAGATCATGTGGACTCAGTATTAATTCTTTTAATCATTAGTAGGCAAGTCATTTTATTTGTCTGACTGTTATTTCTCTCATCTACAAAATGTAGATCATAATATATACTTTCCAGGGGTGCTCTAAAGCTTAGAGGAAGTAACATTTTTAAACAGTAGCACACAGTGCAGATATAAATAATTAACACATTAAACTCAGCTCATTTACTTTTCATGAATCAACTTGACAGGCTGCAGGCCTGGAGTGAGCAATATGGCCAAGGAAATGACAACTTGGTGGCCACTGACATTAATTTTGCATCAGTCTGTGATTTTCAAGCCCCATCATCAGCGTTTCAAGCTTCAAAGAAATAGAAGAAATGCAGTTGATTTACATTCTTGGCAAATGTCCTGTAATAAAGAGGGCCTGTGAACCAAGCATTCCACTTCCTTCCCTCCTGCTTCAACCCCTAGAAGCAGGACATGAGACCCTAGAAGGTATAGGTCACTGATGAAGAGACTGGTAGAAGAAAGGAAAAAAACTTAGAAGCAAAATAAATCAATCGAGAGAGTTTTATTGACAAATGGATCTTGAAAAGAGATACAACGTGAGAAAGCATGACCATTGTGCAACTTCCTGTTTGCTATCTCTCCCGCAGAAAGGAGAGAGAATGAAAACATCAGATTCAAGCTCTGGTCTCAAACGTACATGCAAACTCTTGAGTTGCATGGAGAACAGACTGATTGCTCTGTATGCAAAGGTTTCCAGTTGGTGAATAGTTAGTGAAATTGACTTATGCTTTAACTTGCCTTTCCTGGTCATTCTGGGTGATTTTTAGGTCTACCCTTTATCCCATTCCCCTGTAAATATCTTCAAGGTATGCTCACCAAATTTAGATGTGTGCCACTGCATTAAAAATGAGAAATAATCATATTTCATTAATACACCCAAAGCATGGAAATGGATACCTTTTCATAATTTTCTAACTTGAACATTATTTGGGTGTATCTTACGCATCAAACGTTGTTAATAGCACTTTACAAGTATCTCATTTAACAATTGTGATCTGACTATGTTGGAAGACTGAGATTCAGAAAACATCTGGAAAAATCCTAAAGATAGAAGCTTTCTGAATTCCTACAATAGAGTTAGGCTTGTGCCACATTTTGCAGGCTTAGTTTTCAGCCTGGCTGAGATTGAGTGACAGTATTTACAAGAGCCTAAAATTCTGAACGTACATATGCTTTCCTATAATAGCCATGTTATTTTTCACTCAATTGAAGAAAAAAACACTTCAATAGGCAGAAATTCATGTGAATGCGGCAAGCAGTTGTGTTTTTCTAAATTTTATATTTGGGGATGAAGGGAAATGATTTCTGTTCCTGTACATGATGCTCAACTGCTTGATCACTTATGTTCTGGGAGTTTTTCCCTGTATAACTTGTGCTTTACTGTTTGGAAAGAGCAGAAGCAAGATTTTTTTTTTTTTTTTTTTTAAATTTAGATGGGGCCTCGCTCTGTTGCCCAGGCTGGAGTGCAGTGGCACAATCTCACTGCAACCTTCTGCCTCCCAGGTTCCAGCAATTCTCCTTCCTCAGCTTCCTGAGTAGCTGAGATTACAGGAGCGCATCACAGCACTGACTAATTTGTGTATTTTTAGTAGAGATGGGATTTCACCATGTTGGTCAGGCTGGTCTTGAACTCCTGACCTCAGGTGATCTGCTCACCTCAGCTCCTAAAATGCTGGGATTACAGGTATGAGACACTGTGCCTGGCCAGAATCAAGATTAATGTTCTGACAGGGAAATTGTTCTTCTCAAAATTCTACAAAGGGCTGATCTGAACTCTTTATTTCTCAAGCTATAAATTATTGGGTTGAACAATGGAGTTACAATAGTGTAGGATACTGATATTAGAGCATCCTGGCTTGAGAAGTAGTTGGACTGAGGCCTTAAGTAGATAAAGGAGGCACAGCCATAGTGGACAGTGACAATAATGAGGTGAGATGCACAGGTGGAAAAAGCTTTGCACCTACCCAATGTGGAAGGAAACTGAAGTATGGCAGAGACAATGTAAACGTAGGATACCAAGATCAACAATAAGGGGATAGCCAGGACCAGTGTACAAAGCATAAAGATGACAATCTGACTAAAGTGGTTATGGTAAGATGCCAGCTTAAGGACAGGAGAGATGTCACAGAAAAAGTGATGTAGTTGATTGGAGGAATGAAAGGGCAGGTGAAATACCAAGGATGTGATGATCTGTGCAACAGTGAAGCCACAGGCACAGGCAGCCACCACTAGTCCCATGCACACCCCATGTCCCATGAGCACTGAGTAGCGCAATGGGTTACAAATGGCCACATAACGATCATAGCCCATGGCTGCCAGCAGGAAGGAGTGAGAACAGCCAAGGAAGAGGAAGGAAAACATTTGGATGGCACAGCCCACAAAAGAAATGGTCTTCTTCTGGGCCAGCAGGTCAACCAGCATCTTGGGTACAATGACGAAGGTGTAGCAAGTCTCAGAGCAGGAAAGGATGGCAAGGAAGAAAAACATGGGGGTGTGAAGGGCTCTGTACAGCACAATGGTGGAAAGGATGATTGCATTGGTGCCCAGAGTGAACAGGTAGAGGAGCAGGAAGATAACAAAGAGCAACTGCTGCAGCCTGGCCAGGGATGAGAAGCCGAGGAAGACGAACTCTCTCACCACAGTCTCATTGACCCGCTCCATGGAGCATACATTATCAAGAGATAATTCGGGAGAGAAGAGGAGTTAGCACCAAAGGAAATCCCTGAAAATTAGTAGATTCACAAAAAATTGATCATTAGCATATGTTCTTAGATTTTGAGTTATAAACTCATCTTTTCTCCTCCCTCCTGTATTTCCAAGACATGATATTGCTAAAATCAGGCAAGCATTCATCAAACTTTGAGACTCCACAGTATTTCTAAAACCATAGCCAAAAAGTTCTTTTTGCTTTTCAGATTCAAACAACCCTTCCATTCCCATGGTGAGGCTGTTACTCAGATTCTTAGCCTCTCACTCTTAGATTATCTTATAGTACCTGTCCTTTTTGCTTTCTTGTATCCATATTCTCTAAAAAAAAAAAAAAAATCTTTCCTGCAGTTGCAAAGTAAACCATCTGAATATACCACACTTATCTATAACTCACTAATCCTCAATGGTTCTTAATTACCATTCTCCTTACATCTAAACTCCCACTCTTAGTTTTAATCTCTCCATAACTTAGACTCAAATTCTCTTCAATGCTGTTTTCCTTACCTCCTGGTAGGAATCGTCAGTATACTTCCATTATGCTGGCTCTTGATTCTGTAGCTTTATTCTGCTTCCAAAGTGGAAAAAATTTCTCTTCTTCTTTCTATTCATTAATTTCAAGATAGAATATGTCTATACCTTCTCTAATACCTATATCAGAGTCTTTCCTCTGGCAGGGAGGACCACAGTCTTTGTTCAGGATTCTGTCCGTTTTCATCACTTCCCTTAACTCCTTCTGAAGTCATATTATGGCTACTTTCCCATGACCACTCTTACATCTCTGCAACCCGTCTTTCCCCTGATGACAGATGAAGCTTTTAAAATATAAATTGTATTATATTGCTTCACTCTTAACTATTGCCCAGCTGTGTTCTGTACTTCCTTGTCTCTACTCCTTGCTCGTATTAGCTTGTCATTCACTTTTACTTACAGATATTTTATTGTTCTTCTGAAGCCTCCATTAAATCTACCTTTTTGAAAGCTTACTTGCTACCTCTTGGTGAAAGGAGCTGTTTCTTCCTCAGAACTCACATAAGACATTAATAGCCAAATTTATGTGGTGCTTATCTAATTTTGAAATATTGTAATGAATTATTCTTATATCTATTTTCTCCACTAGATTTTGTACCTTTGAGGAAAAGATATGAATTGTATGTATCTTTGCCTGAGTTCTCCTCAGCATCTAGAACCATATTAAGTACTTAATATCTCCTCAATAAATAATTGTTATATAAATAAGTGAATTAACTTGCCACATTATCTATTTTATCCATGGTCAACACAGACTTCTTAGAATCACAGAGTAAGAGAATTCTCAGTGTTACCTCATTCTAGGCATAAGGATTGCTCAGTATCAAGAATACTAACAACGTCTGTACCACATAAAACTAAGTCTGATCCATTGAAACCGGAAAGAGAAATCTCAGTTTACAATAGAAAACTGTCACTGAAGAGAGCACCTGATCATCAGAATTCTGTGTGCTTAGGATGATTCCCAATTCCTAGTACATTTGCTGCTCATTAGAGCATACTAGAATGCAAAAAAGTGAGAGAAAAGTCATAAAGATAACCTTACAATTATCTCGTTTAAAAATATATTATTAAAATAATTACCTTAACTAATAATAATAAAATTAATAACAATGCATCTTTATGTTATCTGAGAACCACCGAATCAAGAATATCAGATGATACACAAATATTAAGCGTGTGATTATAACAATGTGTCAGCCACTAGGTCTGCAATGAAGATACACATTTAAATAAGACCCAGTCCCAAGCCTCAAGTTCTTTATGTTTCAAGAGTGAGACACATTTAGAGGAAGACGTTATTTAAAAATGTGGTGATTGAGATGATAGATATGTATTTGAAATTATAGGAGCACTCAGGAGACAAATCTTGTATACATCCTTGAAAAATAGTATGTATTTATTACTTATTTCTGCATTTCTTTACTTATGAAGAGGCTGAACTAAAGTGTACTTGGCAAAATATCATAACATGGGCACTATTTAGTTTCTAAAACTTTTAATCTAAATATATAAATAGGACAAGTAACTACATTTGCTTCTCCTTGCTTCTAGAAGAGTGCAAGGATGTTTTCTGCTTGCATATTCTACTTTATCTCACACTCTCCCCCAACCCCATGGAAGGGACAAATACCTTCCTCTTCCTCTATTTTATTACTCTGGTTCTTTGCCCAATGTCTAGCACAAGGTTTTTTTTTATTGCCTAGGCAGTTGGCATATCTATTACTAATATACAGTTAACTTTCAAATTCTATATTCTCTAGTTTTTAGTACTATTAATAAATTTCTACATATATAATTTGAAATTTTACTCTCACAAGCACATGTAAAGTTGAGTAATGCAGGAATAAAATAGGCTTTAAATTTAGACAGATGTAGGCTCTAATCCTGACTCTGGAAAGTTCTAGTGGTAAAACCTTAATAAAATCCCTGAGGCCTATTTTCTCATTTGCATGGTAAGAATAATTCCTGCCTCCTGGGCTATCATGAGAATTAATTCAGGTAATATATATGTAAGAGGAGATTTGTTCCACAAATAAGGAGTGCTTAATAAGTACTTTTATTGCTTTATTGTTGTTTTATAGGTATTGGTGTCAGCAGTATTTTCATCAGTGACGTAATAAACATTTAACTCATGGCAAGTTATTGAATCGGATTTTTTCTGTATTTTCTCAGGAAGAGAAGATTTAAGAGAAATTATTCTTCCCTTGAGGCTCTGCAAACCTGACTGAAAGTAACTTGGCTTTTGAGGGAGATCTGTTTTGCTCTTGGAGGGAGGCCATAAATATTTAGGCACCAATCTCAACAATTTATTAAGTTGCTAAAGACTGGTGCAGATTGTCCAACAATTCTCATATTATTTCATTATTTCTATTACTATCCAAGCACTATACATATAAATATGAATAAAATCATTGTCCCTTTCTCAGAGAAGAATCAAACACCTGCCCATATTACAAAACAGCCTACAAACATTATAAAATAAGTATAAATAAGATGTCCTGAAAATCTTGAGGGAAAACTTAGGAAAGGCTTTGAAGAACAAGTAGTATTTGAATTTCACCTGTAAGAATTTTAATAAAAATACTGGCTGAGTCTAAATGACATTATTTATTCTGGATATTTTGATTCGACTAATAAAGCTTTTCTTTAATGTTTATTGGCCTTTCAGGACTTAAAAAAATCCTACTGTTTTACTTTTTTATGCAGACACACAGAAACATCCCATTTATAAAGCAAAAATGTAAGTTTACAAAGGCTCATGAAATAAGAGACATTAATTATCCTCCCTTTTCTCTTCTGTTTTCTTACAATAAACTTCATGTTGAGGTCACAAACTCAAAAAGCAAACAAGTAGACAAAAGAAACAAGTAGCAAATAAGTAGACAAAAACAAACTACTAGCAAACAAGTAGGCAAAAACAAAGAAAAATAAACTCAATATTTTTTGGAGCATTATTCCACTGTATCAGTCTATCATTACTGCTTTTGGTGTTTCCAGGAAGAAAAAACAGAATACAATTTTGATACCAGTTTATTAACCAAAATTTAGAATTATCTTGCAGAAATGTAAGGCAAGTTGGCGTTTATTTAAACATGCTCTCTCTATGTTCTATATTTCGTGAAATACTGTTATATATACATTCTCTCATTTAGCCCTCACAACATCCTTATGAAGTAGTTATTACTTTTAATATCTCCATTATAAAGATAAGAGATTTGAGAATAAGAGTTTGGGGACTCCCTTTAAGTTCACACAGCTGGTGGAACCAACACTAGACTACAGTATAATCTGTGTGTGTGTGTGTGTGTGTGTGTGTGGTGAGAAAGGGAAAGCAGTATTCAGACACTCTCCTTCCAAATAAAGTCATTTAAAGGAAAAGACTTTGCTATAATTTTGTCATGGGCTCAGTTTTCAACTTTGCTTTGTATTAGCTACAGGACTTTGACGTGTCTGAATCAATTTTCTCATCTTTGCAATGGGGTTCATTCTGATTTCAGCTAACCTAACTTTCAAGATTTTTTTAATGTGGATGAGATAATGCTTTTGCAATGGTTGAGTGGTTTTACAGATATTATTTATATAAGTTTAACTTGGAATTGAAAAGGGGCAGAGAGGGTGGCCAGTTTCGAGAACATACCTTTCACACTGCCTTCTGTAGCTTTGGTTTCAGGATGGATTTAATGAAATAAAAATAATTTCACTTCTCAGGACTGGGAAAGGTAGGTTGCAGTAGTTCTTGTCTCTTACTCAAGAGATTTCCAGAAAGCCAGAGTCATAGTTACAGCTGTATATGGTCTTAAAGAACTAGCTTAGCAGTTTCATTGGACAGATAAGGAAATTGAGCTTCAGAGAGTGCCATGAAGTTTCCAAGACTAGAAAGGAACCGAGTAAATGTGTTAACAACAGAACAGAGGTCTTTCCTCTTTCAGAAGAATGTGATTTCCACACTATTATCCTGCCTTCTGAAGACACTTATTTCATTGATAATTACTTTCTCTTTTTCACCAGCAGTTACTCACGATGTTCTTTTCCTGAGTCTATGTTTCTGCTAGTGTTGCTACCTGTTTCTGTTTTTGGGTTCCCAGAGGGCAGGGTTTCTTAGTCTTTGTATCTGTCAACTATAACTATTTTCAGAGCATGTATTAAGTTCTCAGCCATATGTTTGGTATTATATCTTTGCGTAGATCCTATCTGATACAGCCCTTTCTACAAAAAGGCCATTATTTAAAATTTTATAATTAAAATATTGTTGAGTGCCCTATCAAATTACATCAGAACCAAGAGAGTGCATATATAAATTTAGAAAGAAAAATAAATCCGTTAATTAAAAAATATATAAATTTATATCCACGGTTTTGGAGAAATGCACTTGAAAACCCAAATAATCCTGCTTAACATCATTTGATGTCCTTTTAATTGTG